GTCCTGGGATCGAGTCCCACATCAGGCTCCCTGCTCAGCGGGAAGCCTGCTTCTCCCTCTCCCACTCCCCCTGCTTGTGTTCCTGCTCTCACTGTCTCTCTCTGTCAAATAAATAAATAAAATCTTTAAAAAAATAAAAAAGAATAACTTTTTTTTCTAATTATAAAATATGTATTCCCTGTGAAAAATCTGGAATATTCAGAAATGTACCAAGTATAATAAAAATCACCTTTAATCCCAGCAACCAGAGAAATCCACTATTAACATTATGATGAATACTCCATTCCTTTTCTTATGCATACACTTGTTTTTTAATACATCTGGGTTAATACCATACACAGTATTGTTAAATCTCTATTTTTTATTTGTATCTAAAAATATATTGTAAGCTTTTCCTATTCACTTAATAAGTACAAGCTAATCCATGGTATGGATGCTAGGTTCACAGCTTTCAAACCTCAGTGGATCTTTTCTTTAGCGAGGGCCAAAGGTTAAAATGCATCAGATAATCAAGTGCTGAAAACAGACACAGCTGTCAATCTTAGGGACAGAGATCAGCTGGATCTATCTTCTAGACAAGATGTAAGGAATTACACAACATAATTCAATCTGTATATAGTCTTTTAAAGCCTATGAAACTGATTTTTTTAAACCATTTTTTTAACTAAAATTCAATTAACATATAGTGTATTATTAGTTTCAGAAGTAGAGTTCAGTGATTCATCAGTTTTATATAACACCCAGTGTTCATTACATCCCTCCTTAATGTCCATCACCCAGTTAACCCCATTCCCCCACCTTCTCCCCTCCAGCAACCCTCAGTTTGTTTCCTATGATTAAGAGTCTCTTATGGTTTGTTTCCCTCTCGGTTTTGTCTTATTTCATTTTTCCCTCCCTTCCCCTATGCTCCTGTTTTGTTTCTTAAATTCCACGTATAAGTGAGATCATATGATAATTGTCTTACTCTGATTGACTTACTTTGCTCAGCATAATACCCTCTAGGTCCATCCTTGTTATTTCAAATGGCAAGATTGCATTTTTCTGATGGCTAACAGTCCATTACATATATTGACCACTTCTTCTTTATCCATTCATCTGTTGATGGACATCTAGGCTCTTTCCATAGTTTGGCTATTGTGGACATTGCTGCTATAAACA